CACACACACACACACACACATAAACGCATGTGCACACCCACCCTCCCATACATCGCAACCCACCTCCTAAAGTGATCTAAATTCTGTCCAAGGGGCCATAAAAACACCTACGTTAGAAATATTTTAAAAAACATGCTCGAGCGCACTATTACCGTCATTGGTATCATGCTGCAGTAGAAGTCGATGGTCCTGGTTCGAATCTCCAGCAGGGCGTTTGTGAACTTGAATTGTCTAGGGAAATTGTTACGGTTCTTCACTCATTTGGCATGGTCCTGTAGGAGATGGACGTTAAATCAGTAGGTCACGCCTGTTTACAAACCTTGTAGTGTTGTCAAAGGCGTTAAGTTTTTACAACACCACCACCACTGCCGCCACCACCAACAACATACCCTTCTGCTATGCTATAATATCGAACCCTCCACTTCTCACAAGTTCCAATTCAATCCAGTACGACCGCCCGCCCCAACCTCTCTCTGTCTCTGTCTCAGTCTCCGTCTCTTTCTTTCTCTGCCCCCCCCCCTCGAATAGGAGGAGGTGAAGGAGGATTTGATCTGGGTTCAACTCCCCTTCTATGACAATGGGGTTAAATGATAAGTGAAATTTTTCGATATAAAGCCCGTCTCCGACTGGAAAGACTTACAGTGGGTGGAGACCTTAAATTAACTTCAAAACCTCCCTGTTGGGGGTTTGATCCAAGATCATCCGCACAATATTCGTCCAAACCTACAAATATGACATCCTCCTTCACCACCCAATTCCCCTTTCAAGACCTCCCTTAAGGGTCAATAGTACGGGTCGAAAACGTACATTCGAAATCGCAAATAATATATGGCTAGGCTTCGGAATGACTTGCGGTCCAAGTACCCCTCCCCCAATTTAAACTAACTTGCTCCGCAGTACTTACATTCGGGGGTCTCCACTATCCGTGTGGCCACCCATGGGTCACGGAGGCGTCTTTCACGAATTGAGCTTTAAAGGATAAGAGATAAGGGTAGTCCAAACTAACTTTTACCTGACTTTTTCTACCATTCAAAAGCAGACAAACGTCATGCATCTGCTTTCGAGATTTGCAAACTGGATGACCCTCTCCAAATACCCCCTGCCCCCTCCCCTGCTTCCCCCCACCCACGGCCGCTTTCCCGACTTTTTAAAATGAATCCTGCCAACATTTTTCGCATTCCGCCCTCAGTTCTTGAAATAACAACTCGGCGAATCCATCAGGAAACATAGTCTGCGCTATGACGTCATGGCCTCAACCTATCCGACTCGTTCGCTGACGTCATCAAGAAAGCGCACTACAAATAAATGAAGTCGCCCGGTCGTGTGAGGCAGGCTCGAGTCAAGAATCGAATGTTCGGGAATCGACCACCCGAAACATATTTACTTTTGCATCAAACTGAATCGAGACAAGAGTGCCCATACCACATCGGGAGTCAAGCGTTCAAATCACAGCTTGCACTGTGCGCCTCCCGGAAAGCCGTTTTTTCTGAGTCGTGTTCCAAGATCTGCTGGAGGTAATAATTGTAAAGAGCATTGAGCATGCTGTAGGGCGTGGATATGTGCTATACAAATTAAATACAATTGTTAACATAATTATTGAAGTCTGCTGAACACGTAATGTCGCCAATATTACATTAAAAACTTCTTATAGAACACCTACTGAACGTTAACACCGTTTCCAAACCTCTAAAAATGTATTCTCTGCTTCCATTGGCTTACACACATGTGTTTTTCTGGTGAGAACAGGATGTTAACAGAATAAGACCTAATACCCAGCGCCAATTGAATTCAGTTGAACCGAGTCTGGGCAAGCCAGATTTTCCCTAATCGAGCGGGAAAAGCAACCATTTTGGCACAACATCTCAAGTCACAATCGAATTTAGTAGAATTCGGTCAAATCCCCCCCACTAAAAAAAATTGTAGCTTCTGCCCAGCGACTGAGAAAAATCTCACTGGTCCCGACTCAGACTCGATTAGCCGTGTGCACTCAGTAGTACATGATTGCCATCAATATTCTACATTCGCTTTTTGGAACAAGTAATTTGCAAAAGGCCCACCCTTCGCTCAGCTGGTGTCATGCTGAACTACGAGATAGATAGCCCTGGTTCAAATCCCCAAATCAGGCGTTCTAGATCTGGAGCTGTTTCGTTGAACTTCCATAGCTGTGTCATCTCGGAAAAAGTCGTTTTAACATCCAAAGCCTCACTTCTAGTGCAGGCGTATAGAGTTGGAAACAGCATAAAACCCACACTGTGCCGTAGAACACAGCACTGAGATACGCAAACAATGACAGCGTCTTACTCAAGCAAATTGTGATGAACTTTGAAAACTTAGCGGACATAATATTATATGCTCAGTCATCAGCAGGCCACAGCCAATGTTGATGCATATATTTGAACTTTCACCTACGAATCAGAACCAATTTGTACATTTTACAGTGTGCATGATTGTTTTTGCTGGCTTTTCAGGTACTGAAAACCTTATTAAAAGATCTGTATGAATAATGAGGATAATAATATGCTTCTTGTTGACAGTGCCTCACCAGGTCGTGTCTTCAAGCGAGCAAAATGTGCGTCCTCTATAAAGAAGCGAGTCGAACTGGGGGAGAGGAGACTGTGATAAGTAGGTCACTCGCAGACAGTTGGGTAAACGGAGAGCGGATATTGGGCTACAGGTAACGGCATTGTTGGGGCAGCTGGGGAATGGGGTTCCTGCGGCAAGTGCCAAGTTCTTCTGACACGG